ATAATAATAATAATGATGATTAATTATAACAAAATAACGACAACAACAATTTTAAAATATAATTTTTTCGTTTTTTTTTTTTTTTTTTTTTTTTTTTTTAAACCAATAATGCCATTATTTTATAGGTACCGAGGAGGGAGGGAATAAGGGAGGGGGAAGGGGAGGGACATGAAAACGAAAATTTTTTTCAACTCTTCACATTATTATTATTATTATTATTATTATTATAAAATTTCCTCTTATCCTCCCTCCCTTCTCCCCCACCCCCTCCCTCCTTACAACATTTGAGCTTTTTATATTTCGAGGCGTTTCCTTCGTCGTCACAATAATAAAACAAATAGCAATAAATAAATAAGAAAAATTCCTTTCGCCGCCCCCTCCCCACCCCCCTCCCCCCAAAAGTCTTTTTCTCTTAAAGCTTAAAAAAAAAAAAAAATTATTTTATTATTATTTATTTGGCAAGCGTTTCGGCTAGTGACTTTCATTTATTTATTTATTTATTTATTAAGCTTAAGCAAATTAATTTTGCAAAAACAAACATGACTAATAACTAAAATAATAATAATGATGATAATAATAATAATGATAATAATTAACAATCCATTTTTTTTTTTTTTTTTTCACTTCCGTCGGGCATAACCGTTATGTCTATATAATAATAATAATAATAATAATAATAATAATAATAATAATAATAATAAATAATAATAATAATAAATAATAATAATAATAAATAATAATAATAATAAATAATAATAATGATAATAAACAAAACAACGAATGAATGAATGAATGAATGAACGAACGAATTAAAGTATTAATTAATAGATTAATGAAACTAATTTAAGTAAATAAATTACAAAATAAAATCAAAAAAAAAAAAAAAAATTGTTATTGATTATAGTTTTTTTTTTTTTTTTTTTTTTTGTAACTCTAACTGTTAGCGAGGAAACTTTTTATTCAATTATTACTATTTTTTCGAACCCATCGCCATCTTTTTTCTCTTTCTCTTTCTCTTACTATTACTACTACTACTACTACTACAAGTACTTTCCCTAAAGATGAATGATAATTGATAACCATGTTCATTGACGAGGTGAACTGAGCAATCTTAATAAAATTGACGATAATGATAATTAATGGCCTACTGTTACTATTGCTACTATTATTACTACTACTACTACTACTACTACTATTGCTACTATTAATCACTACTATTGTAAAAATTGACTCGAATTTTTTTTTTTTGGTATTGATTTGTCCAAAAATTTTCACTATTAAATTTTTCGTGGCACGGAATAATTGAACAGAAAAAGAAAGAAAAAAAGAAAAAAGAAAATTTCCCAAAGCGTGGATGGAATTCGAAAAGTTGGTATTTTTTCTACATTCAGCATCACTCCTCCTCCTCCTCCTCCACCTCCTTTCATTCAACAAAAAACGTAACAATAAATAATAATAATAATAGTAATTGAATCACAGTAATAAGTACGAGTTAATTGTTTTTTTTTTTCTTTTGTCCGATTCCGTCGATGTGGGATACATTCTGATCGTTATTTATTAATTATTTAAATTTTATTTTTCTGACGGATCTAAACTTTGACCTCTTACGGATGGACTCACGGGTCTCGATATCTCTTGACGAGTCGGACTGTAAGACCTTTCGAATCCGGAACCGTACAACGATTTCGATCTGTAATTTCTCGGCAATGTGAAACTCACGTACGGAGCAGGTGATTGACTTCCGGTTCTTACGTAATGTGAAGGCCTCCAAGACCAATCGGATCCGATTTCCCTTTGATAACCTAAACCTCCCTCGCTCGTTTGTGAATTGTAAAAAGGTCTGGGTCGTAATGTTTTTTCGTATGAGCAACTCGGATTTTCATCTCCTGAGCTCACGCTTCTGTGATACGTGGATTTAAGAAGCCAAGGTTCCGCCGCCGAGTGTCCGGGTACCGAACATCGTGACGTGTATTCCGCTTCGGAATCCGGTTCCCCGAAACTCCTCGACAGCAAAGAACTCCTCCGTGGTTTTTTACGCTCGTTAAACCTCGTGTAAAAACTTTTACGCCTTATCCTTTCACTCACGGATTCACCGGACGGATCGTCAACTTTTCCATATCTCGATTGGGTTTTAGACGAGTAATCATCCGGATTACCGTAATCCGAACACACGGACCATGAATCCACGCTTTCCGAATCGGGAGTGAGAAAATTATTTGAGTCGTCGTGACCGCTCTGAAGGGGAGAACTCGGTTTCGGACTCGACGAAGTATTTGAAAAGTGCGAGGAAAACCTTCGGGAATACATCGAGTTGGGTGATGAATAATCCACGTTTTTCATAGCGGCAGGAGGAGGAATTTCTAATTTCGGAAGAATGTTTGTTTTTTTGTTGAAAACTGGAATCCTGGACTTGTCACCGATTTCGTTTTTCTTCTCGAATCCCGCCGCCGGCGCTTCCTTTTTCCCTTGTTCTTCATTATCAATTTTATTGAACATTCCGATAACGGAATTAACAGTACTTTTTGACCTACCTTTCGATGATAATTTTTTACTTTGAAAATCCGACGTGGACACGGCCTTCTTAATGAGTACGTTTTCGGAAGACACGTCCGTCGGTCCTAAACTGCTTTCCCTCAATGATCTGATCGCTTTATCAACGTATTTTTTCTCCGTCGATCCTTTCGAATGATCCGATTTGTACTCCGATGATGGTTTTCCGTCATTCATTTCCTTTCTGTCGTCATCGAGCGTTTCCCCTTCGTTTCTCCTACTGCTCGCCATGCTATTACGCCGCGTGTATTTGCTCAACAATGATTTCTCCGGTAACATCGATCCGTTTGATGGTTTATCCATGCCGTGTAATTTATCGAAGTGAAAACTTCCAATCGTTTTATCCGATACGTCCGAATGATGCCTGGATAATTTTTTAAAATTTCTTCCGCTACTCAAATCCGTACCCGTCGTCGAATTGTTGTTTATTTTGTCTTTCTTTTGAATTTCCATCGACGAATTTGAATCGACGCCGTTTCTTAATTTTTTATCAACGTTCGTGTTGTCTCCTTTGACGGGCGGTGACGATTTGTCACCGCGAGATTCTAAACTGTTAAGAACGGCGGCAAGTCTTTCGCTGGGAGTTTTAAATTTTTCAACGGGACCATCTTCTTTCTTGTTGCTTGAAACATTTTTCTTTTCGACGACTTCTTCATTTTCTCGGTCTTTGACGTCATCTTTTTCTCTGTTTTCGACTGAATATCCTTTCTTTCCACGATAATCGTGAACAAGATCGTACCTCTTCACGTTCGTGATTCCGTATTTTTCCGCTAGTATGTCGTAGAAATCTTTTTCCTTCGGTTTTTTTTCCTTGTTTTCCAAATTCGCGTCGTCGCTCGCATCGACCGCAGCCGGTTGTTGTTGTTGTTGTTGTTTTCTTTCCAATAAAAGTGACACGGGTCTTTGCAATTTGGGTATTCCCGTTCGAAACTGACTTGGAACTTCTTGCTCTATACTTTTCCCTCTTTCGTACGATTTTCCCATCCACATTCGACTCGGCATGTAAAGTGATTTATTCGTTTCGTAATCTGGAACGTAACGATCGTTTTTCGTCGAACTCAAAGGAGCGGATTTCGTTCTTGAGTGATGATGATGATGATGATGATGAGAATGAGAATGAGAATTAGTTTTTTTTTCTTTTTTTTCATTTGACGTTTTCTCTTTATGATCTCGACTCGCACTGCTGCTTTCGCTCGGACTTTCCGTATCGCTGTCACCTCGTCTGTGAATTGAGTTTCCTGGAAGGAGAAAAAAAAAAGAAAAAAAAAAAAAAAAAGAAAAAAAACATTAAAAAAATTTCCAATTACAATAACGTCAATAATAAAATTTATGTACAATTATTTTCCCTTTTATTTTATTTTTAATAATAATAATAATAATAATAAAGCGTAAAAGTGCAAAATCGTATTTATATTAGCATAAAAATTTTTTTTTGACATTTTAAGTCACGCAAAATTAATGAATACCAATGAAAATTACAAGAAAAATAAACAATGTAAAAGTTTACTGTAATTCCTAAAACAACAAAATTTATTTTATTATAAATTTATGTAAATAATTATAATAATAATAATAATGAAAAGTAAGTTTTTGTCACAGTGTAAAATTTTACTTAAATTATTACTTACAACAATGTAAATGTGCAGACATAAAACTATATTATTAAGTGTTTACAAAAAAAAAAAAGAAAGAAAAACACAAAAATTAAAAAAAAAATGTTATTATATGCCTACCTACTAAATAATTGTGCTGTGATGCAAGAATATTTAATATACACACTCACACACATATAATATATATATATATTTATATATATATATATGTATAACGATAAATTTTGTATAATTATGTATTTTAAATATATATATATATATATAAATAATAGTGTGCCTCCATTATTGCAAGCTGTCCACTTATGTCGATGATAATTTCAATTATTTATTTTTTTATTTTTATTTTTTTTATTTATTTATTTTATTTTATTTATTCGTGCCTTGGCCGAGGTGTGACATGCACGGTCATACCTATTCCCGCTGAAATTCCATGAAGCACAAAAAAAAAAAAAGAAAAAAAAAAAAACACAAATGTTAATTTTTTGTTTGTTAATAATTAAAATTTAAAAAAAAAAAATTTGGGTAGGCAGGAAAGATCTCATCCCTTGCAAAGGGAGAGGCTAAAACAGTAATCGAGAGGAAAAAAAAAAAGGGGGGGGGGCCAACAGTAATCGAGAGGAAAAAAAAAAAAAAAAGAGGAGGGGGGGCCAACAGTAAACTAAAAGAATTTTTTTTTTAAATATAATAACAATGCGTGACAATCTATAAAGTTTGGAAACGACAAAAATTTATTTTTTTTAAAAAAAAAGAAAAAAGAACTCGAGTGACAAAGAGAGTGTTGTCAATTATTTCACCTCTACTAACTTATGATTTTTTTAAATTTCTATTTTATCACACGCATATTTATGCGTACAAGTGCGTGTAATATATATTAGATATAACCTTTCCCTTTTGCGCAAAGGATAATAATGATAATTACGATTAATAATCTAAACAAATTAATTAAAAAAAAAAAAAAAAAAATTTTTTTAGCAAAATAAAAAAAAAACTCATGCATTATTATGAATTATGATGATGATGATTGTTTTTGTTGTTGTTTTGTTTGTTTGTTTGTTTTAAATTAAAATAAAAACATGAATAAAACATTTTTGTGTAATGTGAAAGCCTTTAACTTTTAAAAAAAAAATAAAATAAAATTTATATCATGTCAATGAAACGGGATGTTTGAAAAATTTCAATGGTAAAAACTCAAAGGAAATTTCCTTTTTTTTTTTTTTTGAAATTAACAACACTCTCTTTTTTCCTTTTTCTTTTTTTTTTCCTTTTTTTTCTTTTGGAAATCCGTAAAAATAATTAAATATTAAAAAAATAAATTTTTCTTTTATAAATATATATATATATATATATATATAATTATATAAATATATATATTTATATTTTATATGGAGAAGAACCCTTAAAGAAAAAAATTTATTCATCAACAGTTTCATTGACAAGTCATGTATACCTGTTATGTGAACCTGATAACCGTGTGTTGTGATATGAGAGTACTAATCATACATATATATATAAATTAAAAACTTTTTTCTTCAAAGGCAAAAAAAAAAATTGTGTTCCTCTCCACGATAAGAAAAACTTTTTTTTTAAAAAATTTTTTCTCACCTCTCGAAAGTGATCGATTCGAATCTGAATTCCTTATGTTCCCACGACTCCAACTGCTCTTCGATCCATTTTCCGTATCCCGGTTTAAACTCCTTCCAAAATCTGATCTATCAGACAATCTACAATGAGAAATATTTGAATCGATTAAAGTTCAAATAAAAACAGGATTATACGATATCATATATTTTTTTTCCCCTTAAATTTTCTTTGTTTTTGTGCTGCGGAAAAGTTTTTTTTTTTGTTTTTTTTTTAGTACCTACTTTTTTAACTGATTTCCTGTAAGTAATGGCAGCATGACTAAAAATAGTGAGTGACATTAATAAAAAAATAATAATAATTCAATGATTATCAGTTAAAACTTTTTTTTTTATACAATTATTAACATAAAAGTATAATTACCTGGTTAGGGGTTGATGTAAATTAGAAAATAACCTTTCGGATGGTCCGAAATGATTAGACAAGAGTCTTGAAGAAGGAAAACCTGGCCGCATTCCATCCTCAACGTTAAGCCTTTGAGTAAGGCTTCGAACCTAAAAAAAAAAAACACTCTTGTAACTTCCCGAGAGAGAGAGAGAGAGAGAGAAAACTTCTTTTCCTTATTTACCCTCGAAAGAAGAGTCGAAAACAAGTTTTCAGCTGTCAACAATTCAAAACCGTCATCATCTTCTTCTTCCGATCCCGAACCGCTATCGGCTCTTTCGATTGATTGTTTCGTAGGACGAGAACTACGTAGCCGATGAAGTCTAAAAGGTTCGTCCATGTCACGCGAAGAGTGTCTTTGAAGGGTTGAAAATGGACTCTCGTCTTCGGATCCGTTTTCGGAGAACAAACTATTACGTCACGTTTTATGATTATTATTATTATTATTTAAGAAATGATTAATTCGCGTTAGTTTTTTAATTAGAGATGTTGATGAAAACATAATTACCTGATCTTTCTCGAAAAAGGTCTATTTCTTTTCGACATGCTCTCGGAGGGTTCTAAACTCGTTGCACGTGGCGTAACGTATCCCCCTCCTTCGACAGCAATGGGAATAATAAATTCCCTCGGAGATTTTTTAATTGGCTCTCCTGGTGGTGCGGATGCTGTGCTTTCTACGTCAGAATCTTGAGTGCTTTGACGAGATAAATTAGATCTAAAAATAAAATTTGATGGTATTAAATATTTTAATCTTTCTTTACCGAATACTATTGATTTTAAATTTTCAATATGAGGCCATACTTTAAAGACCAAGTTCTTTGATACGGATGTTTAACTTTTCCTTCGCGAGATTTTTCCAATTCTTTGACTCTATCTCTCGCTTCAACGTCTTCTTTATTGCCGCTTCCCTCGAATTCAATGGGAATAATTCTTTCTCTCGTAGGTTCTTTTACCGGTTTTTGCTTCGTTCTAAAATCCGGTTCCAACGACATGGCCCTAAAATGTTTTTCTCTAATTGTAATGTTTTTGTTTATTTTCGACAAAAAAAAAAAAAAAAAAAAAAAAGAAAATTTTAATTTACGCACCTCACGGGTTTTGTGGCCGCACTAACAGGGAAAGCAACTTCAGATCTTTGAGTCGAGTAAACGTGAGATGGATCGCCGACTCTGTGTTCGACTTCCGTTCTGAAATTAGGTTCTTTCTTTACCTGAGGAGAAGATAAACGTACTTCCGCTTTCGTAGTTCTCCTGGGAAGCGTATTCGATTTCAATGTGATTTCCAATTTGGCCGTTTTCTTTTCCTTTGGCTTTTCAACGTTTTCTTTATTGTCGGTATTTTGAGCATCGTTAAAATTATCAGGTTCGAATAAAAATTTTGTATTTTCCGGAGTGTGAACTTCAACCGTCGCCGTTTCTTTACCGATTTGAAGCGTCAAATTTTTCCTTTTATCCAAGTCTTCCGTTTTAGTTTTTGGCACAGGAGGTTTCAATATTTGTTTGTTATTTGACTTTCTTTCATCTTCGGCTATAGCACTCGTAATGACATTTCTCGCAGAATCCCGTAATTTTTTTAATTTTTCATCGTTTGCCGGAATCGGTTGTTGTTGCTGTTCTTTATCGTGCTTTTCTTCTGGAGTGCTCGCTTTTGAAACGGGTTTCGGCGATTCTTCTTTTTTCTTATCTACCACCTTATTTTGAGTTTTATCTACCTGACTAGAATTATTTTCAAGCTTTTTACTTTCTGGAGATTCACTTTTCTTTTCCATCGGTTTAGTAACTGGTTTTTTATTTACAGGTGATGATTCTTTTGAATCTTTGCCGACTGCTTTTTTGGATGGTGAAGCTTTTACAGATGCCGTCGGAATAGATGATCTTCTTTCGAAGGCTTTGGCAAAGTCGCTAACTTTGACTCCAGGAATATATACTTTTTTCGGCTTTTCTTGAACGGAACTTTTTTGATCATTCGACATAAACTTTTCTGCCGTTTCAAATATTTTCGATTTTCTTCTTTCAACCGGTTTCGACACACTTCCGTCAGGTTGAGGAGTTTTTTCTTTCTTTTCTTTTTCCACCGATTTTTCCTTTTCAACCTCGACTTTTTCATTTTCTTTTTCATCTTGAGCATTTTCTTTTTTGTCAACTTCTTTTTGCTCCGGTACTTTTTCTTCCGTTTTTTCCTGTTTTTCTAATTTAGCTTTATCACCCTCTTCTTCTTCTTCTTTTTGTACTTCAGTCTTTTGATTATCAGGTTTCGTTTTAGCATCAAGCACTTCATTTTCTTTCTTATCAGTTTCTGAGTCTTTTTTGTCTACTTTTTTTTTCTTAACTATTTTAATACTTTTCCTCGTTGTTTTTTCTTTAGAAATTTCTTCCGGCGAACGTTTTTCACCTTCAGACTCTACAACTTTATTTTCATCTATAACTTTTTTTTCAGAATTATCACTCAACTTTTCTTTCGATTTGTCTTCCTCTTTGGCACTAACTTCTTGTAAATCAAATGCTTCTAATTTATTACTAGATTCTCTATCTACATCCATTGTTGTATTATTGCTTTCGGTTTTATTGGCACTTATTTCAGTCTCCGCTGTAACGTTTTCAACTTCATCAGATTCCGGTTTCGTTCGTTCTTTTTTTCTTGCTCCGCTGAATGATTTACTCGGAACCGGTTCAAGTTTTCTTTTCATCGTTTTTTCGTTTGAAGTTTGTTCTGAAGGCACTTCGCGAGCAACAAAACTTTTTACTCTTTCTTCGGCGTTTGAATCTAAATCCATAAAACTTCCGACTGACATTGATCTAGGAGGGACTTCTTGAGGTATGGTTCTTTGGTCATCCGTAACCACAATTTTCTCGGTATTTTCCGGTGGAGGTGCCAGAGATAAAAGTAAATCAAGTCTCACGGGAGTCTGATTAGCGAGATCTTCGGCTATATCTAAACAAGAGACGTTGAACCCTTGATTCACCCACCAATGAGAACAAATCTGTTCAATGTTGGCTCGATCGGGAGAATTGACGGTTAACATGTCTCGAATCAGAGAAGAGGCAGCTGAAAAAGAATATCACGTGAGTTTAACACATACATTATTTTAAGTAAAATCACTCAATTAAAAAAAATTTAACAACGTACGAGAAGCTTTCTTTGGTTCAAAATAATCCCCTTGAGATATTTGCTTTACAAGCCTTTTAAAATTAGAACCATCAAAAGGCATTGCTCCATAGACTAGAGTGTACAGTAAAACTCCGAGCGACCAACAATCAACTTCGGGTCCGTGATACGGAGTTCCCTTGACGATTTCTGGAGAAGCATATAAAGGACTCCCGCAATACGTGTTGAGAAGTCTTTGGCCATCAAAAACGTTTGATAAACCAAAATCTGCAATCTAAAGTTTTTGCCTTTAAATGTAATTCTTTTTTTTTTTACTTTAAATTAATTATAAAAAATTCATATTTACTTTGGCACTGCCATGTTCATCTAATAAAATATTTTCCAATTTTAAATCTCTATGGCAAATTTTATGTTTGTGACAATAGTATATGGCAGTACTGATTTGTCTGAAAATTCTTCTCGCTTCCGTTTCTTCTAAAACTTTACGCTCGCTTAAATAATCATACAATTCTCCACCGGCCGCATATTCCATGACCAAAACAATTTTTTCACGATTTTCAAATACTAAAAAAAAAAAAAAAAAAAAGGGTAATTATTTGCTTGTTTTTAAAACAATTTTCATTCAACATCGATCAATAACAAAGAAAAGTTACCCTCATATATGTGAATAATATTAGGGTGTCGTACGGAACTCATAATTTGAATTTCACGTCTTATCCTAACTAAATCCGCATCCGTTTCGATTTTACATTTTTTAATTGTTTTTATGGCAACTTCTTGACCGGTTTCTTTATTAATACCCAATTGAACTTTACCGTAAGTACCTTGTCCTAATTTTTTTATAATGTCAAACCTGAAAAATTTTTTTAAAAACAACTTGTTATGTTTTGTTTTACGTGTTAATCGAGCTGGGTGAAGATTTTTTATGTATACCTATAAAATAATAAATTATAAAATAAATTTTTTTTTAAATTAATTTTTTGGGCGTTGCGATGGTTAAGCTTCTTTTAAGTAAAAACACACACAAAAAAAAAAAAAAAATCAATTTCTCGATGAAGCTGAACCAAAGCCAAACAAAATAATATTTTTATTCTATTTTATCATAGAACATTCTGGATAACGCCTAAAAAAAAAATATTTAGGGAGTAACTCGAACTCGTGGTCCGTAATAAATTTTACCTTTGACGTAATTTTTTCCTATGATTGTGAAGCCTAACACCCTCCGTACTCTGAAGACCACGCATAATGTGATCGACATTTGATCGATCTACCACCATCTAAAATAAAATAAAATAAATAAATAAATAAATAAAATATTGAAATGAAATTAGGGAAAAAAAAAAGGTTTACAGTCCTCAATTTCATTTGAAACGACATATTTGTAACGAATAAATTTTTATATGATTAAACATATATTTATTTAAATAATAATTGAAAAAAAAATAAAAATAAAAACATTTTCTTTCTTTCTCTTAAACATAAAACTATAAATAAATATGAGATGAATACGTAAAAAATTTTTTTAACTCCCATTTCCTATAAGCTTAATTTAAGAAATTTCTAAATGTATTTATACATATATAAATAAATAAATAAATATGCACAAAGTATCGTAAAAGTAAAAGCAATTTATCATACGTAAAATAAATGGTAAATATTAATATTAATAATAATAAAAAAATTAAATTAAATATATGTGTAAAAGCCATTTTTCTCACATTAGCCAATAAAAAATATTTTAAGCAGAAAAAAAAAAAAAAAAAAAAATACATAAATGTGAACTCAAAATGCTGTGGGACGATGAAAACGTAATGAATGTCATATTCAATCTTTCTGTGGGTTTAAAAATAAACGAACACTGATGATGATAATTCTTGTGAACCGTTTTTTTTTTTTACGCACGATTTGCGTGATATTATTTCGACAGAATTTTATTTTAAATAAATAAATAAATAAATTTTATTAATAAAATTAATGTAAAATTACAACGATGTAATATAGTAGTAATAATAATAATAATAATTTATTTGTATGTTTAACCTCGATAAAATAAAAATAAAAAAACATTCTACAGAATTTTTCGTAGGCTGGCATCACAGGCTGAGAAATACATAAAAAAAATATATATAATAAGATGGGAGAGAGATGTAGGGGAGAAAAGGGATAAAAAAAAAAAAAAAAGTTGTAGGGAATGAGGAGAAGAAGTGAAACATTCAAATGAATTCTTATATGTTGTATATCCCAAAGGGAATCGTCGCAGCAACCATCGAAATTTATTATATAAAGACCCCCAAAAAACTTTAAATTGGCTGTGTCTCAAAAAAAAAAAAAAAAAAAAAATTTTTTTTTTTTTTTTTTTTTTCAACAACATGAAGGATTTATTTCCGGTCAAGGTTTTATTTTACAGACAATAGTATATATATTTCGCAGAATTTTCTATTCACCTACTCGTTAAATTATATTTTTAAAATAAAAAATTTCTTTTTCGGTTTTTTAATTTTTGGAACTCTAAAAAAAAAAAAAAAAATTTTACTAAAATGACATTTTTAAATCGACAAAAAATTATTTGAGCCAAATATTTAAAATTTTTTTAATCCTTTTTTTTTTATTTTTCTTGTTGATTATTTTTAATTTAATAAAATTAAATAAATAAATAAAATAATTAATTAATAATTGCACTACTGATTTGAAATTCGAGTTTATAATTATTAATTTTATTCTCGACTAATTTAAAAAAAATTTTTTAAAAGTTTTCGATTACACAATAAGAATTATACTACAAGATTTATAGATATTTTGTTATACAATAAGAAATAATAATAATATTAAATAAAAATTCAATAAAAAAAAAGTCAGACTTTAAACTTCACAAACTGAAAAAAATTTTTTTAATAAGTTATTTACGAATAAGTATTAATGATTTTAATTAAAAGTTTATGTTTATGCAACAATTACGATTGTACCTACTTTACCGATTATAAAAAATATAATTTGATATATTATTAATGTATCTACATCATAAAAAGACTAAAATAGTTTAATTTTTTTTTTTAAATTTACCTTACCCTCTACTTAAATTAGTGTAATGCTGTAAAAATACAATTTTAAAATACTAACTAAATCAAATTTGAAAAAATAAACTTTTAATAAAGTTTCGAACATATTTTTAACGATAAAATTTTTTTTTTCCGATTATTTTCAACTTTAGTAAATTTTCAAAAGTTTAATTAAACCCTTTTTTTTTTATCTTTTAACTTTTGAATACATTTATTGATATAAATGTATGTGTCAAAGACAATTATTGAATGTAAAACAAGGGCCCCAGTATGAATAATGAAGTATTGATTATTTAATAGATATTTTATCATTTAAATCTAAGGGGAATAAGTAACGATTTTTTTTTTTTTTTTTATCATCATCA